AAAAAATTTTTGAAATTATAATTAATTATTCCGATGGTTAGGAAGCTCACCTTGATCACAAGATACCGCATCGCAAACATTACTCTTAATACTTCAAAAACCGGTTTCTGATAAGTTGGCCAGTCAGTATCAGACACAGTTAGTCTCTTATTGATTTAATTGGTCTTTATTGAGACAGTAATTAAAAAACTAGCGTTAAAAAATTAATCACCAAACAAGAAAAGGTATCCCCGAAAATGATCTAAAGTCAACGCCCGACCGACTTCTTCCTATGCACGAGCGACACTGACTGACTAAGCGCGACAACAATTTCGACCTTTTATAGTCTATCAATAATCGGGAGGTAGGCCTTGGGAAGCCCCTCCATATCCGTTTGCATGTTAAGTCCATGCGTCTGTTTCCTGATGAATATCATTTCCGAAGTCAATCTCTTCCGGTAGTGTGGTTCCTCGTCCAGTATTGCAACGTTGTCCAGTTAGTCTCTTATTGATTTAATTGGTCTTTATTGAGACAGTAATTAAAAAACTAGCGTTAAAAAATTAATCACCAAAAGTTTTAATTAAATTGTCAAACTTAGTCAAATAGATAAAATTGGGAAAAGTATTACTGGTAATAACTAGTAATTTTTACGGAAATTTCATGGGATTACGGCTCCATAGGACACAAGGCGGTAAAACACACGTAACGTTAAGATGCAATTTCATGGGCGCGTCATTTGTCGCACGCATCGTGCGTCATTCTAGAAGTAACCACATTTGTCGCACACGTGAAATTTTATAAACATAACTTGAAAATTACTTACAAAAGGTATCAGTTGCTATTAAAAGTGATGCAAATAACAGTAATGCAATATGCAGCTTGTTCATATTGAGTGTTTTATATAAAGCTCAATAATAAGTCATCATATGTTCTAAAGTCCCATATCAAATAGTATTTTCACTATTTAGTAAGGGATAAACTCAAACCTTAAAATTCTCAATATCGACATTATCTTTTCACCATAAACATTTATTTCTTTTACTAACTAGGGGTATGTCGATTTTCTCATAGTGTTCCATTATCAATATATATTCCCATATAAAGCAACAATTCACTTCTTAGCACTTTCCGCGATTTTTCAAAACATGCGACAAAATACAAGACGCTGTTGCAGTTGCATAAATTCAACTGTATACGCGTCAAACGCGACAATGCTAAAAGTCACTAGAATCAAGTTATTTCTGAAGTGACGCGTGACGCGCGCGACAAATGACGCGCCCATGAAATTGCACCTTTACAGCAGTGTTGCCAG